CAATTTTTTTATTGCTGACTGGCTCTGCTAAAACTAAATCTCCATGGGCTTGTATACTTTTTAAGGCTCCAATAATTTTCTGATGGTCTTCGTTGAATGCAGACGCTAATTTTAACGTATTAACATCTCCGTTATCCGATATATATTTTAGAATATTTTCAATTAACTGAGCCATGCTGACCTTATGTTAACTGAAAAGTATACAATGAAACCATGTATTAAAATTACAAAGTATTGCATCAATATTCGAACGTATACTTACTACTGATAAGCTTTATTTTACCTGGTTTCAATAAATTGTAAATGTCCTAGCGAAAAATTTAAAACAATTGCTTCATCTGCTTTTTCACAACATAACCTTAAAACGTCATCACATCAAAATGAAATCCACAGTATTTACCACAACTAGTGTTGTAAGTGGAATAGGAAAAGTAGGGAGAGTAAATTGCATGGGTCCAACCGTTCATAATGGCTACGGCGCTACTAGTCACGTTAAATGACATAAGAGGTGTATGACGAATGATGTTGATGTAAGTGCTGTTGCCATGGTTTCACTAGTTTGCTTATATATCCAAATAATGATTATACTATACAATGTTTTCCAAAAAAGAAGGATTTCAGCAAATTCTACTAAAATCACAACTTAAAATGTACATACCATAACTTATTTCTAAGAATTTTGAGTATCCACCGAAAAAAAAACTGTGCTAATGGCAACATTGTAATCTTTGCAAAATTGAAAATGACATAACTATCTGGTATCTGTATCCCAAATTTCAGAAATAGGAAATAAAAACAATAGGGGAAAGTGGGGGAACCGGGCGCGGTGGGGAACGGTTGCGCACCATTAAAATTCAAATTACGCGGCATACTGAGAGTCCCCTCCCGAACAGGCTTAAGCGGGAAACATGCACAGAGTCTCTGACGCCATTAACTGCCACTGCAGTTGAGTTGTGTACTTAGTGAAAGGCGAAAGTGTGCATTTGAGGTTTTTGTTACTATTTTCCACTTGCACAAAATTAAGACGGTGAGTCGTAAATCTTAACTACTTGTTTTGAAATAATGTATATTCTTAAAGAATATCATCTGCTGCATAATGCACACCATTTTGGTTGCATTTAGATAAGTAATTTTTGTAGGATGATGTAATTACGTTTTTATAACCATAGTGGGGTAACCGTGCGCGAAAATTGCGCACGGTTACCCACTACTCAATTAAATATGAAGCAATTTTGTTTCAGTTTTTGGGTACTAAAATCCGTCTTTTATTTTCGAATGCCACGAAATTAGTTCGAAAGACTGAAATCCATCAATATAGTGATGAATTGCTGGAGACTGCACTGAATGCAATTAGAAACGATGGGAGGAAAATACAGAAGTTGGGAGGTCTTTTGGTATTCCTGAATCAACACTCAGAAAAAGCCTTTCTCTAAATCAACTAAAAATCCCCCATCTTCGGTAGAAAGGCGTTTTTTACAGCAGAAGTGGAAGCTGAATTAACCCACTATATTCTGACACTCGCAAAATTGTTTTACGGCGTAACGCCACGACAACTGAGGCAGTTAGCGTTTATATTATGCTCAACAGAAAAATATTCCAAATATTTCAATAAACAAACTCAGTTAGCAGGCAAAGATTGTTGTATGGGTTTCTCAAGCGAAATCCTGAAATATCATTGAGACAGCCTGAGGGGACTAGTCTTAATCGAATTGCTGCATTTAATGCGGACGAGTTAAAACTTTTTTATTCAAAATCTCGAGAAAGTTTTACAAAAATTTAAATTGAAGCAAACAGGATATATAATATGGACGAGACGGGTGTAACCACTGTACAGAAGAAGTGCCCGAAGGTTTATGGACGTAAGGGTGTATAAAAAAGTAGGAGCTGCTATTTCAGGTGAAAGAGGGAGGACCATTACAGCCGTAATTTTGCATGAGTGCCACAGGAAATATATATCGCGCCCATGCTGATATTATCCCAGAAAGAGAATGGCTCCTGCGCTGCAGAAAAATGGGCCAACTGGTGCTAACTATAAATGTTCAAAAAATGGATGGATGAATTCTGAACTTTTTCTTGATTGGTTAATGCACTTCGAAAAACAGGCAAATCCCACTTTAAATGACCCCGATTCTCCTTATCCTTGACAACCATTCAAGCAATATATCCATAGAGGCATACGATTTCTGTAAGTCAAATCATATTCATATGGTGTCCCTTCCGCCACATACTTCCCATCACCTTCAACCCCTTGACCTATCCTTCTTTGGTCCTTTAAAAAATGCGCTATACAGGGAGTATGATATTTATTTAACTACAACAGGCATGAAAAGATCATGGAATATGACGTAGCTGAGCTGTTAAAATAAAGCGTTCGTAAAAGTCAGCATCGATGGAGAAAGCAGTTTCGGGATTTCGTTCTGCTGGAATAAGGCTCATTGACCCTAACAAATTCAACGAAGATGATTTCGCTCCGGCCAACGAAATGAGACAGTTTTGTAGTAGAAGGTTCTCCCGAACGTAGCGCTAATTTATTAACACTTGGCATCTCAGCCAAATCTACAAAAAATTCCTAATCCGGCAACACCCGAACCTAGTGAAAATTCAGACGGTGATGATAGACAGACAGCTCATATGCCAAACAACAGCAGGCAGGATCTAACCTATTCAATGGTCATCTACCATGTACATCTACCGCTGAACAAGATCATCTACCATCTACATCTAAGTCTGGACACAACCATCCTACCATCGACATCTACATTAAATAATTCATTCTTCCATTTTGCACCTATTCCAAGGGAGAAAAGAAAAAGGAAGAGTAAAAAACAGTGTCTCGTTCGAAACAACACTCTGAAATATTGACTAGCACACCCCTAAAAGAACGATTAGAACAAGCTCAAGCAAAGAAAAGGGAAAAAGACGTGAAAAAAAACATGAAATTAAAAAGTGTCAAAACATTAGGAAAGAACAATATTAAGAAAGATAATAAGAAATGAATGAGGGCTCCAACACCTGAACTTGATGCACAAGAACGTGACGAGGAAGATGAAATCGAGAATGCTTATTTCTCGATCCACCTCACTCCTTCTACGGAAACCACTACAAGAAAAATAACGGCAAAAAGAGAATGTTGCAAAAAAAAGTAAAAAAAACGCATATGTCAGTCTCCGGAAATTAAAAGAGGGAGAAAATAAGAAACCAGCAAACGCCTGAATCATCAGAGGTATCTGACATAGACGATAGTGACATTTGTGACGATGATGAAGTAGACGATATCAACCCCAACTTAGTTCCATTTGATGCAGACCTGACGTGCGGACTGAATTATGTGGCATATGTGGAGAACATGGACAAAGCGAACTATGGTACCGGTGTGTTGCATGTGGCTTATGGAACCACGCGGCATGTACCGGTAAAGATGCCCCCGGAACAATACATTTGCGACTTTTGTCATGGTTAAACAGATAACCTACTTAACATTATAGGTATATAATCACTCGTACAATAAATATTTGTTCTTGCATGTGAATTTGTTTTTATACCACTGTATTATTAGGTACTTGTATATTCCAAACTACTGCGCACTGTTACCCAACCCTGTGGCGCACAGTTACCCCATGGGGTGGGGGAACGGTGCGCAAATGCAATTTTTTACTTTTTCTAATTATATATGATTATGTTAAGAAATTCAATATCTATTATAGTGCATACTGAAAGTAGAATAATTAGGGTATCAGATAACGTTTTTATTTTATTTTTTATGTTTAAGAGTTGACCACCACAACGATTCTCGCTTAGGTGCGCACCATTCCCCCCCCTTCCCCTTATACATCAATTTTTATCGATTTAATAACCATTGCGAAAAGAAGGTACAATACCAAAACGGTACAATACTTTACCAAATCGAAAAAATCAAAAGAATATTTTTTGTGTATGGGTAAAGTTAAGTTGGACGATGAAAACGTTCTGAGGATTAGGAGTTTGTTTTTACAAGCACCAGGTAAGAACAGTACCTAACTATAACTATTGCTTCTGTAGTTAAATTACCTTTAAATCTTAACCAACAGTATACTATATATTTTTTAAAATCATTAAAACACTTTAACTCTTATAATTGCCTTCCTAAAAGTTGCCTTATTTTATAAAAAAAAAGTCATTCTTTGTTTAAATTCTTTATTTTAATAATATTTCATTATTATAGATTTTCATGGACTGTCTACTTCTAGTTCTGATGCAATAGTTACATCAAAGAATATAGATACATACTATATTCTTTGGTTACATACTAATTTGGGATGATCTTTTGGGATAAGAGATTAAATAAAGATTGGTGGAGAAAATCCCTAGATAAAGTTGTTCATCTGTTACAGGATCACAGCCAAGGGAGACAGCAAGCTAACAATATTTAGTGGCCCCGTCTCCACCCACACCTACACCCTGATAAGGGCTTACGGAATGAGGAGGAGGAGGATATTTGTTGCCAATACTTTACCAAAGAAAATTATACAAATAAACAAGCGTCAGGATATGTGTTTTATTTTGATGTATTGGAAAATTTCCTGTACCATACTCTTTGTCTAATATTATGTTACACATTTTATATATAAAAATGCGTAAGTGTATACTACATTTTTGGACAGAGAAAATATATTTTTTTGGCATAGAATAAGATTTTATTTTTAATTATATTTATTTTCTTTCCATTACAAGCATACTTTTTGAATTTTGCCGCTTAAAATCAGAGCATATTTTTTGAATTTGCCGCCTAAAATAAAGAACCTACGTTTTAAATTTGCCGCCAAATAAAATTAGTTTCGGCCCGTCCGCATTTGGCGCTAGAAACTACCAAATCTTTCTATAGGACTTACCTTACTAGAAGGCTATTTACTGTGATAAAATCCTAGAAAAGGAAAGAGAGACTCTTTCCTTGTCTAATGGTGAATTCAAAGAATGATTGGTGGAGGAATTACCTATCCACAAGTGGAGATCAATGAAACAATGAAAAAGAAGACGAAGTATATATTTAGGTTAACACTTTCAAAACAGGCCAGATTCAAAAAATTTTCATTTATTCATTAAAAATGTTTTTAACGAATGTGTTATTAAAGAGAGTAAAAAGCAAGTGAGTTCTAGTTTAGTTTATCGTTATTCTTTTTCTCATCTATTATTATGACTTCCTGAGTTGCATTGGAATTTCGAAAGTTCTTTACTTTTAATTTATCTTTTAGATATCTGGCAATTCATTTTAGTGCTTCATCTTATGTTTCATTGTTTGGCGTATTTTTCTGTTAGTTTCCACTTTTGGTTCAATTTATGGGAATACCAATTCTGTTTAATAATTCTTTTGGGGTTACACTTAGTTCTTAACACTGTATTCATTATACTTCCTTTCAATTTTTGGATTTTCCTTTATAAATTTAATCAACCGAATTAAATTAAAATTGGATTGTCATTTATAAGTTCAATCAAATAAAAACCCTTAATTATTGCTTAAATGTTTAGCATGTTTTTGCCATTCACAATAAGCACATTAATTACATAATAAACATTAGTGTATTTACTTACATTTTTTATTTAATTACATCAACAATTTGTGTTTTTATTTACAACAGACCAACAAACGTAGGATTTAAAAAAGTTTATATTTAAAATATTTCAACAAAAGTTCTAAATTCTCACTTTTTGTTTATTGTATCGAGATTGGTTGATATTGTTCTGCAGCTATTCTTTGTTTCAAGTTAAGAAAATAACATTTACGCTTATGGAGATCAGTGTTGCCAAAACTCTCAGACACTCTCTTTTGCACGGATGTCCAAGATATTCCCTTTGCTTAATTTTTGAATTTTCATTTTCAATTAACATTTAACTGTAAAGTCAGAATAACTACTAAATAAAAGCCTTATTATCATTATGTAGTCAGAGAACGACATAAAATAGCTGACATATACGCACATCATATTATTTTAAGTTGCAATTAGTAATTAGATATACGCATTCCAAGAGCGTCATATTTTCTACTGATTTCTATGATTCATGGCATATCGTATTCTCACGAAAAAACAAATAAACTGTCGTTACTATAATTAAAATACGATAAAATAAAATTATCTTTTGTAAATACTATTGATCTAATTAAAATCATTTTCCCTACTTTTTATCTCTTGTTTCGAATGGGCACTTTTGGTCAATTACATTAAAAAACATTAATTTAATTCATGTTTGTGGAAACAAAAATACAAATTATACAACCCTAAATTGTGCTTGCGTGTGTCGTGGCAACGCCGCATTGCTATCGTCCATAAGAAATACATGGCCCTATCTCCGCAATGTTATTTTCTAAACGTGGAACGTAGTATAGGTATTTTATTGTGGCATCTTAATGAAATTTAATATTTTTTATTGGGAATAAGCCACAATTTTACTTTAAAATAAGTTTATTTTGACTTTTCTAAAATTATGGCTTATTCCCAATAAAATAAGTAAATTGCATAAAGATTGGTTGAATTTAAAATATGAGAAAATTAAAAGTATTCTTCCTGATTTGTGTTCTCTCACTATTCTTTGTTATTTGACTGTCTCTCTAGTTTTAACTCATGATCTTCCTGTAATTTAATTCATACAAATTTTTATATGTTCTTTACATTCATACACCTTTATTTTGTAGACAAATTATGGTTCAAATGGAAAGTGTGGTAAGTGGTCACACATTTAATAAAATAAGGGATAGGTTGGCAGATAAATTGGAAGTTATCAGATTTGATCCATATAGTAAGTATTAAATACGACGATCCACACTATATTTATTATAATACCAAAAGAAAAGTGTTGTTTTTTGCTATACATAAAAATATTCAATTTCACTGCCCAAAAGATGGAAGATCATTGGTGCCTGTAAAGAAAATGGAGCAGAAATATAACTTCTTTCATTGTAACATTAAACAATACCAATGAAATTAAAATAAGAATTTAAAAATTAAGAATCAGGTACATGATCATTTTCAAGCCTTTATGGTTCTGTATAGCTTTGTATTGATTCAGTATTTATAGAAGTGAGCTGTTAAACTACAACTTAACAATTTTGTTTCTGAGATTTAATCTTCTTTTAAAGGTGCCTATCTTCTAGTGATGTTGGCAACAATATTGACCCATCTTATTCTATACACAGCAGCTAGAAATAGATCAGTGGATGTTAGACCCCAGTCTATTTCCAAAGATCAGCGATATATTTCTACATCTAGGGTCTCTCTTGTCCACAATCTTGTCTTGTAGAAGTCAGTATTTACTATTTCATATAATGTGGCCAAAGTAAGCCTTTTTTCTATTCATTACTGTGTTAATAATTTCTTTGTCTTTTCTTAGCCTCTGGAGAATAGTTGTGTTCTATTTTTGGGATTTAATACTCCTGTGAAATATCCACAAATTTAAGCAAGAACATAATTGATTTAGCTGATTGAATAACATATTTAATTGAATGCATTGTATATAAAATCTGCATTACCATATTACCTGCATTAAACATGATATTGATTAGATTCCATGTTTAATGTTGTAGCATATTATTTAAAAAGTTTCTTTAATTGTTGATATATTTCTTGTTTCCTTTCAGTTATGCAGGAGAGCTTGTATAAAGAAAAGAAGAAAATACGGAGTATGTAGTCTGAAAGTGGATCTTTTTTATTTGTTTAGTGTTATTTAGTGTAAATAAATTATTTTGATTGGTATAGTGTTCTTATTTAATATACATAAAATTTTAAATATGTTTAAAATAAAAACTGAAATGGAAGAAAATACAGTAGTCTAAAAGATCCCAAAAACAAGTATTACTACAAAACATCTGTTGTGCAAGCCTACACTTCTTTTGTATTTGTGAAAATTTCATTTTTTTTTATTAAATAATTTTAAGGAATCCATTTTATATGAATTTCCTTTATAAAATCCACCTTATACAACCAGATGGGGTAGGATTTTCAGCAAAAGTAATTTTGACAGGTTTATCAAATTATGTAATCAGGAAGAATGGAATTATTTTTTGCTCTCCTGATTTGCTTCATCAATTTCATCACACTCTCATGAAGATTTTCAATTTAGCATTTCAAAAGAGTTCTTAAATCGAAAAGTAAGTAATCTTGGGTTACTAAAGGAAATAGAATTTCCTGCAAAAACTTAAGATCATTAAATTATATTAAAAAACATATAATATGCAATCTAGAATGGAAAATGCTGATAATAAACAAAAGGAATCTTGGCTTATACTTAATATTCTTAGAGCTAAAGTTCCCCAAAATACTGATATAGTCTTAGACCCTAGGGACCTAAATTAATATTACTGCTCTGTACATCCAGAACTCGCTGAAAAAATTAATTCTTTTGATCCAATGCATTTTTTAAATGGAGTAAACATTACTAATTCCTTTTATTTTGTTCCCACTAACTCAGTTGAAATAAAAATTATAATACAAGGCATTAAAAATCCTATGGCTGCAGACTGGCGGTTCCTAAAGCGGTTCAGTTCATACTCGGAAGATAGATGTGAGTCTGTATCAATCTCTGAGCGCTTCTCTAGTAATATCTTTATTAATTGTGGAGTACCTCAAGGCTCTGTCTTGTAGTTTTGTCTGGTAATTTTTTGTTTTTGTAGTCTAGGTACTGTAAACGGCTTTCATTTATAAGAAATCAGGATGTATCCTTTAAGTCCTTGGATAACATAGAATCTTTTGAATGTTCAAATTCTCAGGATACTAACAATAATCAAAATAATGATGAAGATGTATTGAAACACTTTCTATTCTACTGATGTGATTGTTCCATTCTTTTTTTTTTCTATTTAGTGTCCACTAGTTAATATTCTGTACATTTCATTTTGTTCTTATCTCGTCATTCCTTATTCAGTCTCTCAGAGTGTTTTCTGTGATTCTCATTTCCTTGGTATAAACAATAAATTTTCTTTTAAACTTGAAATCTCTACAGACAATGTTTTTCCGTCTATATCCCATAACATTTATTTTTGCCTTCCGGTGTAATGTTCAGCAAAAAGAAAAAATGATAGTAAAACAAAGTTCATGCTTTATTCTATTTATTAAATAGTCAATTCTTAAAAAAACAACAAACAACAAAATAAAACTTAATATATGAATATCTCTGTTTTCACTTGTACACCATGCAATATTTTTCAATAAACAAATTCCATACAACTAATATATTATAAGATCAATCCATATACACAATTATTATTTTACTAACAATTTCACTTTGAAATTGAGGTCAATACCGTTAGAGTTAGTTGAGAAGTGTTAAGAAATAAATTGGCGACAAAAAAGACCAAACAGGGTTTCATACAATTCCCTTAATATAATACTAATGTGCAAATATTAGCATTTTGGGAGTGTTGCAATAAAAAGGAATTATAACAGTTAATAAACTAAAGTCTGAGTGTCATAAGCCAGGGCGATGTTGGTTCCAACCAATCTCTGAAGCCTGTATCCACCCAATGCAGCAGCTTGGGTGGATAGAGGTTTCATACTCTACAGAATCTGCATTCTACCACGCCTACAACTTTCAATATTTTCAGGTGCTTAGGTAAATCCTCTTGTATCTCGATATGTGCATGTTCCACGATAACATGCTCTGAGATAATAAACCAAGGCAATGAGACAAAATAATTACGTATTATACATCTATACAGACTTGATTTTTGCAATGAGTAGCACACATTTCATAAGAAATTGTATGTAAAAGCTATGTAGGTATTCTAACAATCATATTTTATAATCCAATTCAAGAATGAACAAACGTAATCTGCACACTAATAGAGTTCTTATCACATAGTTTTAGGATAATGAGGGGACACGAGTAAGGTCTGATATTTGGTAATAAAAATCGATAGTACAAAGAAATCTCAAGGAAACACCAGGTCCCACGAAATAGACTCTCAAAAACTTAGTAATAACGAACAGACCACGTCATATAGCGAGGTTACGGAAGTTTTCAAGGGGGTATAAAAACCTCGGGGAATACCCTGACACTCACGCAACACAGTCACGAAAAATCTTGGAGCACCATCGACCAGACTAGGTCGACAGATGGCTTCTGTAAGAAGACTGTCTGATCCACGTACATTTAAACACAACATATCATCCAGCTAGACCTTCATGTTTTATCATAGCATTAAAAAAACGTTGTTAACCCTTAAGTTGTAAAATAGAAGCCAAAATGACAAATATATTAACTGTATAGAAATTAAATTGTGGTACTTTTCAAGTGAAATTGATACAGACGTAAAAAATTACTATACTCGTACTTTATCTTCAGTTCACGACATAAAGAAAAAACAAAAACACCTAAACGTGTTACATATTCAATATATCAACAAATCAGAGATAAGATATATGTGTTTTTACAATACTTTATCTATTACTGTACAATCGTGAGTAAATTAATGACGCTATCATTTAACCAAGTTAATACAGAATTGCTGTCTTTATGGGCTCTCGCTTAATTATTTTGTGTGAGAGATCAATGCGAGACAGGATGAGACATTTGAACTACGCTGACGTCACTGTCGGTAAGCGTCGAATCTGTATTACCGGCCGAGCATAAGCCAAGGCCGGAACCAAGGTCTCTGCATCGTTGTGTTAACACATTTAAGGCAAAAATAGCTTTTCGTTTTCGAAATCCGAATTGAGTGTCACTCATCTGAAACTCACACTTCTTGTAAATTCGTGTATGAGCGATTCTGAGAAAAGCTTTAAGGACTAGAATGAGACATCATGCTTAATATTCGATAGTCATCGCAGTGTGAGGTATTGGATTATTTTGGTAATGTTACGAATGCTGATTTTAGCCAGTCTGATGGTATTTTACCTGTCATATATCTTATTGAATAGTACTGTTAATAAGTCGAGGCATTTACTTTCGTTGTCTGCAATTAATTTAAGTATTTCGACATTGAAATTGTCTGGACCGGTGGCTTTTCAGTTCTTCTGAGATTTTACTGCATAACTAACTTCTTCTTTTGTTATTTTTGGACCTTTTCATTTATTCGATCATCCGTGGATGGTGGAGAACAAGGTCTATCATTGTCAAAAAGTGCCTGAATGGATTGTTTTATATTAAAGTACCTATAATTGTCTCATTATTATTTCTTAATAATGTTTCTTGTCTCTTTCTGTGCATTTGATAGTATAGTGCCCTTTTGGTGGATGCCTTGTTTGTTTTTTGTATCGTAATATATTCGTTATAACCTCCGCTTTCATTTAACGCATCACACGCTCCCATCGGACCAATAACAACGGAGATATGATGTAATGACCTTTGCACATGCCGTCATTGATGTATCATACGCCACAATCCGATCCTTAAATCCTAAAATGTCGCAAAAGAATTTTCTTACTATACTCCGTATATCAAGATTTTTACCCACTGGTTCCGGTCTTGGCTAAGGTTCATGTTCGGTCCGTAATGCAGATTCAACGCTTATCGACAGTGACGTCAGAGTACTTCACATGTTCCGTTATGTCTCGCCAAAGCGGCCCTTACTCTACTGTGAATATCTAAATATTCATTAATTCAGTAGAGTTGGTACTCGTACCACATAACATTTTTGATCAGGGTACCTCTGGATTTTTGTATGTAAAATGGATTTAATCTACAAAAATGAGCAATTGGCTTTCTTGTCTTCTCTGTTTATGCAGTAAAGTTTATAAATGCGTGTAAACGGCTTCGTTTTGACATACACACAAAATTTGTTGCATTTAATATGAACTAAATATTTTAAGGCAATTCTGTATCTCTTATATACAAGTGAACATGTTCCTTATTAAGTAAAATTCATTTAAAATCACTCTTTTCTCACAATCCACATAACATCATGAACGAATTCAGAACGACATCACTTGCTCTAGGACAAAAAAAAACAGAAATACTGCTTTTAAATTTATTTGAAGGCTTTGTATGTAAATGGAAGATTTAGTAGTACGCCCTTTTTAAAACTTTCAGTGCACATACACATACTATTCCATATAACAGCATCAGCGCTTCTTAAGTTTGTGATTTTTTAACCCTGATCGCTAATCCTCAACGACGTTCCATATTTTACAATAAATCACACCCAACAAAACAATTTGATACAGTTATATGGCATCTTAAAAACACAGTTAGTGATTTTATGTGGTTTATGAGAAAACAGTACTGGTTTAAATAAATAATTTGTACACATGGTCTAAGCGTTTGGGAAGAATCCGAAAAGATTTTATGTCCTAAATCATAAATATTTTATACACTAATATAAATAGAAATAATAGAAAGTAACACACAAATGGATTTGATTTGACAATTACAATTTTCAACGATTTATTTTGTGCAACAAAGAAAAACTTTCAAATAATGGCCAATAAATATTCAAAGCATTCTGCACTCCAGACCTCAATTATTATTACTTGAAAATACGGTTTCTGAGTTATTAAGTTTTAACCATTTATCTGCAATGTGGAGATACGGAGAAGACCAAAACCTTTGAACTCTAAATATACTACTACTATATTCCACTAGTGTCTAGAGCCTGACCCACTATTCGGTGCAGACTTGCGCTGTGCTATGGTTGCCTGATCTGGTATTGGGGCAATGTGGGGGTGTGGTAGTTTGTTGGTGCGAAATCAGGTTTGTTATAATTATGATTAGAGAATTGTACAGGCACTGCACATCTTATGGTATCCAGTTTGTGA